AAATCCAGGCACACAGTTTTTTTTTTTTTTTTTTTTTTATAGAATCATAACATTTGCAGTATAGTGCATTGTATAAATGTCATCATAAACCAATTAAACCTGAAGTTTAGCTATGACAATTTTTGCATAGTTGCATTAGTCAAGCTTGCATCACACCCAGCATCAATATGGGAGCTTTTGGAGGCTTTTGGAGGCTTTTGGAGGCCTACACAAGGGCAAATTTTACAGGTAAATAACATGCTGATGTAGCACCCTCTTAGTTAGGCTGCTATAGGGTTTAGATCAGTGTTTCTCAAGCTTTTTTCAGTCAAGGCACCCTTTAAAATTATGGATAATCCCAAGGCACCCTTTAACCACTTCAGGTCCGGACACTTTCATCCCCTTCCTGTCCAGGCTAAATTTCAGCTTTCAGCGCTGTCACACTTTGAATCACAATTGCGCGGTCATGCATCACTGTACCCATATGAATTTTTTTGCATTTTTTTGAGACAGATACAACTTTAGTTTGGTGGTATTTATTCACCACTGGGATTTTTTTTTTTTTTTTTTGCTATATAAATGAAAAAGTCCCAAATTTTTGAAAAAAAAGTGTTTTTCTTATAAATTTTGCAAATCAATAATCTTTCTTCATAAATCTTGGCCAATGTTTATTTAGCTATCTTTTTAGTAAAAAAAAAAATAACACAAATTAGTTTAAAACCAAAAATTATAATTACATTTTAATTTTTATTTTTTATATTATTATTTTGTTTTTTTTTTTTTTTTAAACATTCTGTCACCCTAGCAGTACAGTGTCACCATAGTGACACTGTACTACTTGTGGGAGTGATGTAGTTTTTTTTTTATTTTTTTTACACTGATTGCTTTTACACCCATAAAGGCTATAAAAACAATAAGTTCCCTTTCTCTCTGGCTGAATTCTGCTTGCAGCCATTGAGAAATACTGTGAGAGCTGTGATTGGTCACAGCTTGTCACATAGTACAAGGCGGTTGTGAATAGCCCTGTATCATGTGATCTCTGTGATCATTCACAGATTTCACTAGTAGTAAGCAATGATGTCAGCAAGTGACATCTTGCTTATTACTATTCATGCGATCACTGATTGGCCAAGCAGTGATCACATGATCGGGACCTCACACAGAGGTCCCATACAACGATTGGTGTCCGCTGTGTCAGGAGGACACAGCGGGCACCAGATTGCGATGCCGCGCGCTCCCAGGGAGCATGCACAGGTTAAAATGGCTGGCGCCATTTATGAACGGCAACCCGCCCCTGCACTGCTCCCGTCCGGCTGTTTATTTACATGGGCCGGACAGGAAGTGGTTAAAATTATGGATAATCTCAAGGCACCCCGATCTGAAATGTAAAAACCTATTCTTCACACTTCCAGTACTCCCAATATTAGAGGGGATTTATTCTTCCAAAGCAAATATACCTTTGCACACTGGTACTGACTAGTATTCCAGTGTGTCTCTATCATTTTCTCTCCCTTGCTCTGCTAATGTGACCCCAGTGCTGATGGAGAGGGGGGGGGAGGGTCAAACAAGGATGATGTGCCTTCACCCGACGTCCTCCTGATCAACTGATGATGTCATTGGTTGTTAGGATGCTGGCAGCTAGAAGGTTATAAAAGTGGACAATGAAAACTTTTGGCTTTGTGTACTGAAAGGCAGGATTGATCCACCTGCTGGCTTGTATACAATTTCTGGGCATTGTGCCAAGGCACCCCTGAAGAAGCCTAAAGGCACCCCAGGGGGCCTGGGCTCCCTGGTTGAGAAAGGCTGGTTTATAAAAATGTATTTTTGGCTCCTCTGTGGTCAGGGGGTTTTACAGGCTGCAGGTTCGGTTGCTCCTCCCTACATTCCAGAACTCTCTGGGCAGTTCTGGGACATAGGTGTGGAGTAGGCAAATGGACAGCCTGAAAATGTATTCTGTCTCAGCCAATCCCTGGTCAAGAGAGTAACTAGCAGGGGGCTGAGGGGTGTATGAATAGTCTAAGTCCTAGAACAGCAGGGTTGTTGGCCTGGTGAAGAGAAAATAAGCTTGGAAAGTATGTCTTCCCTCCTGGGCCATCCATTTGGAGCCTACAAGTGCTTCAAGGAAGTTTCAGCTCAGGGAGAGCTGGGGGACCAATTCCCCAAGCTAGAAGAACAGTCTGGACGAAACGCGTTGGATGGGCTAGCAGTTTCACATCCAGTCTACGCAAACGTTCTGGGACACATTTGTTTTTAAAGTGCCATAAATATGGAATACATGCAAGCGCATTTCTAAGTGTTGAACAGGATGGACTTTTGTCTTTCTTCAGCCAGACTAACTATGTAACTTACAAGAGGACTCCAGGTTCAGAAGGCAGCTGTCGTTAAAGGGCACAGGAGATTGAATCACCCTAGGGGCTGGTTAAAGCACCCAAAAGCACCTTTGGACCTACCTTCACATAGGTGATCAATACCTTGCGGTGAGTGGGGCTCTGGAGGGGGAGCACGAGTGGATCATTTATCACCACTGTCTGCTGGCAAGATCACCAAATTGTCAGTATATCACGGTGATCATTTTGAAGAGGAAGGTGTTTTATAGCACCAGGACTTTATTTTCATGAACAGATCTGCACATTCTATTTGTGTGTTTTTTTAGGATTATCAGGTTTGTTTGCACTAGTAGGTTTACACACAGATGTTCATAACACCGTGCACTAGGCTCATATCTACCTAGGGGGAGGTGTATGTAGCTCATGGTACAGGGTCTGGCTAATGCTGGAAGGAGGTATCCATGTATACAGGGACATATAGAGGCCTGAGAGAGATCCTGGAGATATTGTTGCTGTTTGATCTCTTGTTGCGAGAGACTGTTCTAGATTTTGTCAGCCCGGAGTTGTTTCCAGTGTGGGATCCCCCTGAAGCTGTATGTCCACTCAGTGGCATCCCGAGGCAGGTGCAGCCCGCAGCGGGTGACACCGACCTCACGGGGTGACAACAGACCCGCTCCACGAAAAGGTAAGTTGTAAAGAAAGCCGATGATCCCCACAGGATGGATGGGGTCTGCGGATTGGGTAGCATAATGGATTGGACTCAGATCCATTTATGCTCCCCAATCTGCAGATCCGAACCATCCTGCGGGGATCGTCAGCATGCAATCTATACGGGATGACACCGGACCTGCTCCACGAAAAGGTAAGTTGTAAAGAAAGCGGACGATCCCTGCAGGATGGATCGGATCTGCGGATTGAGTATAATGGATCGGAGTCCAATCCATTATGCTCAACCCACAGATCCGATCCATTTTGCGGAGATCGTCGGAGGGGGTGTCACCAAGTGTTATCGCACCGGGTGACACCAACCCTAGGGACACCTCTGTGTCCACTTCCCCTTTAAAAGAAGCCTACAGTGAAGAAGTTATTTCTACTATAGCATGTCCTCAGTTAAAGTTGTACTAGTTCTGGAGTTTCCTAAGGCTCACCATATTCCCCATCCCAGTTCTTCAACCAATAAACCCAAAAAATAAACTTTTGCCTGTTTATTGAGTGGAGAGGCTGAGAAACTACTGCATGCCTGGCTGTCATCCCATATGGAAGAAATATATTTTCAATATATTTAGAAAAAAAAATTATACATGCGACATGTATTTACAATATATTGGCCTACACAAATATATTTTAACACGTATTACAAAAATGTAAATTAAAATATATTTTCCAAAGGCATATATTTAAAAATATATTTTTCTAAATATATTTTCCAGATACTTATATTATATATATATATATATATATATATATATTCACAAATATATTGAAATGTATTTTTGAAATATATTGAATACGGCCAACATTGTAATATTTGAAATATATGTCAATATATTTGGGAAGAATATATTAAGAATGTATTTTTAAAATATATTTAAAATATATTTTTTTCCCATAATAGAATGTGGGAAAAATAGTGGGACCAGTTTGGGGTATGTACTACATATAAAATATTTTAAATGCACATATAATCTTTTGAGAAGAGTATTCTTTTAATACATAATCTATTGACCTGTGATTGGATAGTGACTGAGCAGCAGCAGGCTGATGAAGTCATCCCTCTATTCACTCTGCATTCTCTACCTGTCAGCTCATTCCCTGTCATACCAGATGTGCACCGAAGCAGAGCCCGATGCATCCCGACTGCTACCCATTCCTCCAGTCTGGAATTACTAAAGGTTGATACCAGGTAAAATATCGGTACTTACATTTTAATTTAGTTAAAAATTTAACATTTATTAATCAGTGCTTTTCTGCACTAATTGTTTTATATCCGCCTGGAATTCAACTTAAAAACCTATAAATACAGTAAATGTTACTTAGAGCCGAATTTTCATTGAACAGTAGGAAATCCAAAGTTTGAGCAAATGGCACATATTACACTGGATTGGGTGAATCTGGCTGATGAAAGTGCTGTATAAAGGAGACAAATGCAAAAATGGTGGTTTATTTGTCACTTAATAAATATGTCCCCTGGTTATATAACTAACTTAACTACTTGAAGCAACCCTGTTGTGATATAAAATTTCCTTTGTGAAAGCATATGTAGCACCCCCTTACCCACTGAAGGCAGCTAAGGATCCCCAAGTGTCTGAGTGGGCTGACATTTCACCCCAGGAATCCTTGACTTTCTTTAACCCCTCGCCTACAGGGCACTTCTACCCCCTTCCTGCCTACAGGGCACTTCTACCCCCTTCCTGCCTACAGGGCACTTCTACCCCCTTCCTGCCTACAGGGCACTTCTACCCCCTTCCTGCCTACCGGGCACTTATACCCCCTTCCTGCCCAGGCCTATTTCCAGCTTTCAGCGCTGTCACACTTTGAGTGACAATTGCGCGGTCATGCAACACTGTACCCATATGATATTTTTATCATTTTTTTGAGACAGACAGAGCTTTCTTTTATTGGTATTTAATCACCTCTGGGATTTTTTTATTTTTTCTTAAACAAACCAAAAAACACACTTTTTTTTAGTTTTTGTTATACAATTTTGTAAATAAGTGATTTTTCTCCTTCATTGATGTGCGCTAATGAGGCACTGATAGGTGGCACTGATGGGCACTGATGAGGAGGCACTGGTAGGTTGCACTGATGGGCATTGACAGGCATCACTGATGGGCACTGAAAGGCAGCACTGATATATGACACTGATACATGACACTGATATATGGCCCTGATAGGCGGCACTGATAGGCAGCACTGACTGGCACTGATAGGTGGCACTGACTTGCACTGATAGGCGGCACTGACTGGCGCTGATAGGCGGCACTGACTGGCACTGATAGGCGGCACTGACTGGCACTGATGAGCACTGATAGGCGACACTGACTGGCACTGATAGGTGGCACTAATTGGCAGCACTGATAGGTGGCACTGATTGGCATTGATAGGTGGCACTGACTGGCACTGATGGGTGACATTGAAAGGCAGCTCAGATGAGCACTGATATGTGGCATTGATGTGCATTGGTATGCACTGATATGTGGCATTGATGTGGCACTGATGAGCACTGACAGGTGGCACCTCTGGGGCCACACTGATCGTCAGGGCACACTGATCATCAGTGCCCTGATGATCAGTGTACATGTCCCCTCCGCGGAAAGCCGATTACCGGCTCTCCTCTCCTCTGTCAGCGTGACAGCTCGAGAGGAGAGAAGTGCCGATAACCGGTATTTCCGTGTTTACATGTGATCAGCTGTGATTGGACACAGCTGATCACATGACCGAGCCGACATCTTCGGCTCTTTCTGTGATCCGCTGTGTCCGAGGGACACAGCGCACCGGCGATCGCCGCGCTGCGCGCTCCCTGAGCGGTGAGAATGGAAGGACGTCATATGACGTCCTATCAGAACGAGAGAACCACCTTGCGTCCGTTGTCATTGTACTATAGGGCGGGCGGGAGGTGGTTAAGGCATAAAAAATTGGAGACAAATCAATTTTGGAAAGCTAACAGTGTTTACTTAAAGCCACAAACCCAGGGAGAGAGTTGTTTGCCCATATGGAAGAAAAATATATTTGAAATATATTTTAAAAATATTCTTCCCAAACATATTGACATATATTTGAAATGCTACAATTTTGGCCGTATTCAATATATTTCAATAAATAAATAAATAAAATATATATATATATATATATATATATATATATATATAAACTGTTTGTTAAAATGCGTTTTTATTACGAAATATATGAAAAACATTTTAAAAAATATATTTCAAATATACTGCATGCCTGTAGCCTCCCTAGCGGTCTGATTATGTCCATATTTCTGTGCTCAAAGCGGTACATTGTTTTCAATGGAAATATGTTGTTTTTTTTTTTATTGTAGGCCTGTAATTCTTAGGAATAACTCACTGAAATCTGTCCGAACAAGAGTCTAGTAAACATCCTGGGGATGATAAAATTTGAAACACGAAATCATAAATTATAATATAATAAATAATAAAACATATAAATATAATAATAACAAATTTAATTCAATAATATAATCAAACCAAAAACACTGAAATTTGAAATAGAGCGCCAAGTTCGCACATCGCTGAGCAAAGTCGCAGAATCGTTTTCAGTGTCTGATGAGGAATTTCCCCCACGAATCATTATCACTCAATTCTGCAAGTGGTTCTGATTTACTATCGCTGTTCTCTAGCCGGTCTAAAACCGCTTTTGACCTAAAGGGACGCTTTTTGGACGCCATGGACGTTTCTCAGTTTCCAGGCAGAAAGAACAGTAAAAATGCAGGCAGGGCGCCGGACAAAGCACTCGGGACAAAATATATGTGAAATGGTTTGATACAGGAATGTTATACTATGTGATTTTAGTGTATTGAGTGAATGTAAAATTTTGACATTTTTTAATTCCCGCCAGTTCAGTCCCCCGTACGTCCCGACATCGCAGGGAAGGAAACCCAGAAGACAGATGCCGGCATCGGCCAGAGGAGATGGCCGGGGACGCTGCAGGGGGGACATCGCGGGAGCGCAGGACAAGGTAAGTGAGGCAGGGATTGCTGGAGAAGCGCTGCTGTGTATTCCCGAGTGTAGCTCAGGGTTACCACTTTGGTACTGAAAGTTAACCCCAAGGTACACTCGGAAATACTGCCAGGGAGGTTAAAAATATAAATCTACATTTTTGGAATGCATTTACAAATATATTAAAAAATGTATGTTTAAATAACTTTTTAACATGTTAAAAAAAGTTTGAAGAATAGATTTAAAAAATATATATTTTTAAAAAATAAATATTTTTAAGTATATTCTTAAGATTTTTTTTAAACATATAAAAAAGTCATTTTAACATATATTTGTAAATGTATTTTTGAAGACATACAGTTTGTTTGAAATGTATTTTTAAAAATATTTTGAATGTATTTTGTGATAAAAAAGGCATTTCAACATGCAGTGTGTGTGTATATATATATATATATATGTGTGTGTGTGTGTGTGTGTGTATATATAGGTATTGAAATGTATTTTGAAATATATTGAATATGACCCAAATTGTAGCATTTCAAATGTATGTCAATATATTTGGGAAGAATATTTTTAAAATATATTTCAAATATATTTTTCTTCCATGCGGGTGGGCACAGAAGACCCAAAAAAAGAACCATCTGCAGACTCCATATCCCACCTACAGTCATACAGCAAAGGACATTTAGGACAGATTGGCATTCTGTATATTTTAAAATGTATAGCAGCTGCAGAATATAATCCACCTGGATGAGCCACCAGATTTACTGCCATGTTCAATTTTGTACCTAGCAATTCCAAACACTTTTCCAGCAGATAAAGTTTACCCCTGGTGCTCCAATCTAGGTTGCAGCTTTGCTCCTCCTGGATATATCCTCTTGTCAAGCAATGCAAGTCTTTCTGGGTCCAAATTCAGGCTTTTCTTTTCACATGTGTCCTCCCCAGACAACAGGCCTAGGTAGAAAGAAAACAACTGAAGAAACGGCAACAACTGAGAGGCAAGAAAGTCTGCATACCTTTCCCCAACATGCATCAACCTCTTTGTGGTTGGTCAGGGAGATATGAATATTCATAACCCAAACTATTGGATCTCTTGACACCATTTCCATTTCCAGGAGCACTGTCCAATAGTGTTCCTGCAGGTGACATAGGAGATATAGGAGACATAGGAGACTCTCCTGGAAGAGGAGGTTTCTTTTGGATAAAGCTTTCTCAAGGTACAGTGGTTTGAGCAATTTTGTTGCTGGAGAGTCCAAACATTTGGTAATTTTTTATATCTCTTTTTGTATATCTCTTGCAGACTCTATAGGTGAGATCTCCAACACCCTGTTGTGGTGGTTCTAAGGGTCTCCCACCATCTCTGCTGGATTTGTCTTTATTTTATACTATTAAGAATGTAGTAGGAGAAGCTGGGGCACAGAAAGTGGGTGGGAAAACACAAAACTCTCTGGAAAACAGGGCAAAGTTAGAATTTCATTGTTAGATTATCCAAGACAGAAGAAGCAAGGCCCTGACTCAACACCCATCCTGTAACCAAAATGTCACTTTTGGGCTGAGTGTCTCATTAACCACTTCCATATCGGGCACTTTTACTTCCTTCCTGCCCAGGCCAATTTTCATGTTTCAGCGCTCTCACACTTTGAATGACGATTGTGTGGTCATGCAACACTGTACCCAAACAAAATTTTTATCATTTTGTTCAAACAACTAGAGCTTTCTTGTGTTGGTATTTAATCACCGCTGGGGTTGTTATTCTTTGCTAAATTAACAAAAAATTTAAAAAAAAATTTGAAAAAAAAAAACACGTTTCTTTGTTTCTGTTATAAAAGTTTGCAAATAAATAATTGTTCTTCATAAATTTAGGCCGAGATGTATTCTGCTACATGTCTTTGGTGTAAATAACCAAAATCAGTATTTATTATTTAGTCTGTAGGAAAGTTATAGAATCCACAAACTATGGGATATATCTGAAAATTGATCAAGTACTGACAGCCAATCTAATTTCTTGAGGCTCAAAAATGTCAGAACAGTACAGATATCCCCCAAATGTCCCAGATATCCCCCAAATGTCAGAACGGTACAGATATCCCCCAAATGTCAGAACAGTACAGATATCCCCCAAATGTCAGAACGGTACAGATATCCCCCAAATGTCAGGACAGTACAGATATTCCCCAAATGTCAAAACAGTACAGATATCCCCCAAATTTCAGGACAGTACAGATATCCCCCAAATGTCAGGACAGGACAGATATCTCCCAAATGTCAGGACAGTACAGATATCCCCCAAATGTCAGAACAGTACAGATATCCCCCAAATGTCAGGACAGGACAGATATCCCCCAAATGTCAGGACAGTACAGATATCCCCCAAATGTCGGGACAGGACAAATGTCCCCCAAATGTCAGGACAGTACAGACAAACTTTCCAACGACCTTCTAACCGCCAAAGCTAATGGCCACTATTCAGTGCTCCTACTCCTCGACCTCTCCGCGGCCTTCAACATAGTCGACCACCCGCTTCGCCTCAAAAAACTACACTCCTTTGGCCTCAGAAATTCCGCTCTCTCCTGGCTCTCATTCTACCTATCACAACGCTCTTTCAGCGTTACCTATAATGCTACCACCTCCCCCTCACTTCCCCTCTCTGTTGGGGTCCCTCAAGGCTCCGTCCTCGGGCCCCTTCTCTTCTCCATCTACACCTCCTCCCTTGGCCAACTCATACACTCTCACGGCTTCAACTACCACTTCTATGCCAATGATACACAAATCTATCTCTCGACCCCTCGCCTCACCTCCTCAGTCTCCGCCCGAATCACAAACCTACTAAATGACATATCAGACAGGATGTCGCTCCACTTCCTTAAACTGAACCTCTCCAAAACCGAGCTCCTAGTCTTCCGCCCAGCCCGGACCCCACCCCCCATTGACTTCTCCATCACATCCAACAACGCCACCATCAGGCCCGCCCCGCAGGCCAGAGTACTTGGTGTCATTCTGGACAACCTATCCTTCCAGCCCCAAGTCCAATCTTTAACAAACTCGTGCAGACTCCACCTCCACAATATCGCCAAAATCCGCATGTTCCTAACCCCAGAAACCACTAAACAGCTCATCCACTCCCTCATCATATCACGACTCGATTACTGCAACTCCCTCCTCACTTGCCTGCCTCACCACAGGCTATCCCCACTTCAGTCTATCCTGAATACGGCAGCCAGACTCATTCACCTTACCAACCGCTCCGTTTCCGCCACCCCCCTCTGCCAATCTCTCCACTGGCTTCCGATTGCGCAACGGATCAAATTCAAAATCCTAACACTGACGTACAAAGCCGTCCACCATACTGCCCTGAACTACATCACTGACCTAATATCCAAGTACCACCCAACACGCACACTCCGCTCCTCACAAGACCTCCTTCTCTCTAGTTCCCTGGTCTCCTCCTCCCATGCCCGCCTCCAGGACTTCTCCAGGGTGTCACCCATCCTCTGGAACTCCCTGCCCCAACCCATCAGATTATCACCCACTCTCCTCTCCTTTAGGCACACTCTGAAAACCCATCTCTTCAGGGAAGCCTACCCCACCC